CATGAGGATGAGTCACGGCCATTGCTTGACCAATTTGTTCTCTGTGAAAGCCTGAGAGAATGTTTTTTCTCTCCATGTGATTCTCTTTAGGCACACTATACATCATCAGTCACTTTCCTCTGTGGCTCCATATTCTCCTTGATCAGAAAATTTGGAGCACAACTGAGTTACCTGATGTTACAGTACAGGTTCTCCTATGTCCTGAATCTTCACTGACCTTGAAAGGCTAGGGGCAAAATGTTGGCTGACCTTGCAGCCCTTCCTTTTCTCCAATTTTGATCTGCTAACTTAGGTTGTTAACCTTCCAGAAGAGAAGCTTATTATTAACCTGCAATATATGCAGTTTGGTTTACCCTATCTGTCTAAATATCAAACATCTCAGATATATTTCTTGTGGTGCAAGAATTGATGGCTATTATGTCAGAAAGAAGCAGGAAGAGGTTGGTCAGGTTTTCCTTAATGGTAGATCAGCTCCTGGCATGCACAGGCCCTAGATTTGAAACCCAGTGAAGATGAAAAAGAAGAGATGGTTGGGGTTGGAAGTCACTGGAATATTAGGAAGGAAGGCCAGATAGGAATTGACCTGGGAGATCTTTATACCTAGGCATTTGACCTGTTTTCAAGTCTTTCTTTCTTTCTTTCTTTTTTCTTTTTCTTTTTCTTTTTTTTTTCAGAACTGGGGGTGAACTCAGGCCCTTATGCTTGCCAGGCAAGTGCTGTCTTCCTGGGTTTGTTTGAAATAGGGTCTTGCTATGTTGCCCAGACTATCCTTGAACTCTGGGGCTCAAAGTTCTCCCAAATTGGGCCGGTAAGTTGCTGGGACTACAGGCATGTGCTTTTGACCCCAGCCTCTTTCCTGGTCCTCCCACCCCTCTTTTGTCTTTTTTGAGACAGGGTCTCACTATGCAGCTCAGGCTGGCCTTGAGCTCACTTTGTAGCCCAGGGTGAACTTGAACTCACAATGATTCTCCTGCCTCAGACTCCTGGTGTGCACCACCACACCCAGCCTTCCCTCCCCATTTTCCTTCCCCTCTTCCTTTTTCTTCTTGACAGAATCTCACTAAGCCACCAAGTTCCCAGGCTGTTCTTGAACTTGTGATCCTCCTACCTGAGCCTCCTGGAGTGCTGGGATGACAGGCATGTGCCACCATTCCCTGGCCAGTGTTTTTTTTTTTTTTTTTAACAACTGCTGCTCTAGAAATGAGAACCACAGAGCATGCTTCCTACTTCTTGAGAGAAGTTTTGTTTTGTTTTGTTGCAGAACTGGGGATTGAACTCAGCTCCTTGCGCTTGCCAGGGAAGCGCTTATTCTACTGAGCCTTCTCCCTGGCCTTTTGAGAGTGCCAGGAACAGGAAAAACTCAGACACTGAGGGTAGTTGGGAAAGATGATGGATGCTTCTCTTTATGGTTGGCTTCAGCTCATAGCCAGACTCAAGGAGCCGAACACCTCTCTTTCTCTTTCCTTAGCTCTGGTCTCCTTCCTTTTTACAGGAAGCCTTTGAAGAAAGTATTAAAGAAAGGCTACTGTGGCTTCCCTTCTGGAGGTGGAGTCCCAGGTGAGGGAAGGGTCCTTTTTTCTGATATTCTACTTTAAAAAGCAGTTGCATCATTCCCTGCCCTCCCTTTGCTGTGGTTTTCCTCAGAGTGCTGCCCTGCCGGCATCGTGCTCCATGTGCATTTATATTGCTTATCTGTGTATGCTGATCTGTTCTGTGTACCTCAGGCCACACTTAAAACCACCCACCCACCTGTCATGGTGGCATACACCTGTGGTGTCACGCCTCAGGGAGGCTAAAGCAGGAAGATTTCAAGTTCAAGCCCACACCGGGCAACTTAGTGGCTTAGGGAGACAGTGTCTCCAAATTAAAAAATGGCTGGGATGTACCTCAGTGCAAAGGCTCTGTATTCAATCCCCAGTATTACCATTTTTTTTTCTCTTTTACGTGTTTGTTTATTTTATATTTTCCCACCTAGGTCTGTCTTGGTTATTTTTTAATACATTTTAGATATACATAGTGATAGCACTCATGATAAGGAGTTTGTACCTGGACATGGAATGTGTTGCTTCTTTTTTCCCATTGCCCTCCCCTCTCTTCAGCCCCTCTTCCCCTCTTTATATATAAAAGCTCTGTTTCTACTTTTCCTCCTATTCTTTTTTTTTTTTTTTTTCCCTTGGCTCTTCTTTCCTTCCCCACCCCTTGTTCCTTTTCATTTGAACATTTTCTTCCAATTTCCTCAGAAAAGTTTGTCAACCTAAATAAGAGAGGGCTGGCCAGATAGCGCAGCAGATTAAAGCTCCCGCAAGCACCTGCTTAGGCAGAGCGCAGGCAGCAGCTGGGGTTCGAGCTCTGGTGTGCTGTGCTGGCCCCGCCCCCAGGGCAGGCTGAGAAGGTGATTGAGACTGGGCATAGTGGCATGCACCTGTAATTCCAGCGCTTGGGAGGCTCAAAACAAGAGGATCACTACGAGTCTGATGTACGTTGTGAGACCCTGTAGACTGTGACCTAAATACATTTTTTTTAAAAAGAAAAAGAATACACTAAATAAGAGAAACTCTATAAAGGAATTTATTTGAGAATGAATGGGAGATTTATAAATCCAGGCTACATGTGCCAGAGCAGACCATAGTGGCCACTGGCACACTGGGGAGGCAAAGCAGAGGGGAGGGTTTGAAAGGCAAAATGAAGAGTACTACACTGTTGCTATTTGTTTGTTTGACAGGGGGGCAGGACTGGGAATTGAACTCAGGACCTTGCACTTGCCAGGCAGGTGCTTGTGCAACTAAGCTATGTCCCCAGCCCCTACACTGCTTTGAAACAATAAACTTTGGTGTCAGTCCAGGCTGAGTAGGCAGTTGGAGGGAAGATGTCTGGAGAAGGCAGCCACTGTGCAGGGTTGTGGTTTCTTGTGCAGGCTTGTGGCTTGGTAGAGTCTGGCAATACTCCCTATGAGGCAAGCAGAGTGAGAGCCTCCCTTTAAGGCCTCCTGACTGCATTTTATTAGAATTTGTGACTGCACATGAGTGGGTGCATTTTGGGTTTGTTTTTGTGTTGTTTTTTTTTTTTTTTTTTTTTTCCTCAGTGGGTGCATTTTGAATCTAACAGTTTTCACAAAGCATTTTGAATCTGCATTCAAAATTAGAAGTTTTCACCTAAAATATCTAGGCATCTGGTT